CAACAACTACAATTTTATGCTTGTTCCAATGCTACGTACACTAGACTGCCAAATGATTCTGGAGAAACTCAGAATCATCTTATGGATGCTATCAAGATTACATGCCTCACAATAAAGGATACCAACAATGTAAGATCAGAACAGATTAAAAAGGATATTCAGCCACGATATAAATCATTGTGTGACAACCAACCTTCAGTAGCACTGTTGTTCGGGGACGATTTGGCAGACACAATCAAGACAAGAACTGTCGGAGGACAGTAACGCTCGACTATTCGAAAATTTGTCACAAGGGTGTTTCATTGAGTATAATAATGCTTACCTATATGAATACATAAAATTGTACGAAAAGGTACAAACCCTTCAAGTTTCAATACAATCACAGAGAACAAGTGTGTGTAGTTTCAATCCATTCCCTTCAGTAGTTATGGAGATACCAGCTTACACACAAAAACTTAACCACAAATTTATGAATCAAAAAAGGGGAATAATTATGCGAAAAAGTAAATCAGAAATATGGGACTTGTGCCAATCATCTTAGATAATCACAGAGATCAAGTGTGTGAAGTTTCAATCCATTCCCTTCAGTAGTTATGGAGATACCAGCTTACACGCAAAAACTTAACAAAGAATTTCTAAGATAAAAAAGGGGCATAATTATGCAAAAAAGCAAATCAGAGTTATGGGACTTGTGCCAATCATCTTAGATAATCACAGAGACCAAGTGTGTGAAGTTTCAATCCATTCCCTTCAGTAGTTATGGAGATACCAGCTTACACGCAAAAACTTAACCAAGAATTTCTAAGTCAAGGGGCATATTTATGTAAAAAAGCAAATAAGAGTTATGGGACTTGTGCCAATCATCTTAGATAATTACAGAGAACAAGTGTGTGAAGTTTCAATCCATTCCCTTCAGTAGTTATGGAGATACCAGCTTACATACAAAAACTTAACCAAGAATTTCTAAGTCGAAAAAGGGGCATAATTATGTAAAAAAGCAAATCAGAGTTATGGGACTTGTGCCAATCATCTAAGATAATTACAGAGAACATGTGTGTGAAGTTTCAATCCATTCCCTTCAGTAGTTATGGAGATACCAGCTTACATACAAAAACTTAACCAAGAATTTCTAAGTCAAAAAAGGGGCATAATTATGTAAAAAAGCAAATCAGAGTTATGGGACTTGTGCCAATCATCTTAGATAATCACAGAGAACAAGTGTTTGAAGTTTCAATCCATTCCCTTCAGTAGTTATGGAGATACCAGCTTACATACAAAAACTTAACCAAGAATTTCTAAGTCGAAAAAGGGGAATAATTATGTAAAAAAGCAAATAAGAGTTATGGGACTTGTGCCAATCATCTTAGATAATCACAGAGAACAAGTGTGTGAAGTTTCAATCCATTCCCTTCAGTAGTTATGGAGATACCAGCTTACATACAAAAACTTAACCAAGAATTTCTAAGTCGAAAAAGGGGCATAATTATGTAAAAAAGCAAATCAGAGTTATGGGACTTGTGCCAATCATCTTAGATAATCACAGAGAACAAGTGTGTGAAGTTTCAATCCATTCCCTTCAGTAGTTATGGAGATACCAGCTTACATACAAAAACTTAACCACAGGGACGCCGACGCCGACGCCGACGCCGACAAATGGGTGACTGCATTAGCTCGATTATTCTACGAATAGTCGAGCTAAAAATGGAAGGGCCCACATTGAACATCACAACCACACAGTCTTTTTTGGGGAAAAGGGTTCCTGCTTTGAACAGTTTTTCCATTATCAGACATTTAGCCCTCAAAAATAAAGGAGTTCCAAAATCAGCTTGAAATGTCATTCTACAATCATGGAGAGAAAGCACCAACAACAATATCATACATTATATCACCCAGTGGATACAATTCTCTGGAAACAACATTAACTCCTTTCAACGAAGTGTCAACAATGTTTTAAAATTTTTGGTTTATTATTTGATAAAGGAATGAATTATTGGACACTGGGTGTAGCTAAGATCATCTGTTAGTGTATTTTTAAAAGTCTGTAGTGACATTGACATCACCACCTCTGAAGAGGTTACACGGTTTATGAAAGGTGTATTTTTACAAAGACCTGTTTTTCCAAAATATCAGACAGCTTGGGATGTTGATTTAAATCTTAATCATTTAGCTACTGTAAAACATGTCAATTTGTTACAGTTACCTTGTAAGTTTTGTATGCTGTTTTTACTGCTTACTGCACAAAGGGGGCAAATTTACAATTGTTAGAATTAGATGATATTTGTTTTAGTAAGGATAAACTGGTTATTTATCCAAAACATTTTTTAAAACAGTCCAGACCAGGTCATCATATTGATTATATCACTCTACAATTAAGCTTACACAAAAAATAGATACCGTAAAATTCCTAATAAACGCCCCTCCCCTAATAAAAGCCCCCAGGCTTTTTGATATGGAAAAAAATCTGCTCATCAGTGGTGAACTCTTTAATAAATCTGTAATTTTATTCAAATCCTTCAGAATCCATTTTATTTCATAGTAAACACAAAAATGTATCACATGAACTTTAAAATCTTAACACGTTTTAATGTTATTACCAACACTTGTTAACACTTAAATGTATTTTCAATGATTTTTATGCCCCCACAAAGTGGAGAGCATATAGCGTTGCACTTGTCCGTCCGTACGTACGTCTGTCCTCACCAACATTTTAGGTTCATGGGGAATGGACTGCGGTCATTTCCAGGTTTATGTGGTTCTTTGGTTTAAGGGCTGCACCACATAAACATTTTCACTTGGCCTTCATGGACAGTCTTTATGAGGAAAGCTGCTATTTAAACTGATAATTATTTTTTCAACATAAAGATCGACAATCACATGTGTCCAAAGTCCATGTGAGTTATTTCCCTTACATCAGATTTTTTTTGCGATACTATTCGTACAAACTCGGCTTTCTACGGAAGGATCGGAGCATGCGTGCTCATGTGAACGTACGTTTCCGCGTTTTTTTTTGCGGGAGAACGAGGCCGTGAAGGTTATTGTTGACAAAGTAAGTGAAGCTTTGATTTTATTTTTAAAGTGAAGTTTTCATTTTATTTTTAAAAGGAATAACTAAAATTCATTTTACATGATCCATATTTCTAAAGTATTCAAAAGCCGTGGATTATGCGAGAGTTTTGACAAAACTGTAGTGATATTCGGATAGATTTTTTTAGACATAATAATATAAGGAAGACTGATCTAAAATGATGTTACAGAAACAAATAGCAGGGCTTAGCGCCCGTTTTTCATTCCTTCCCCCCTGTTTGCCCGTTCAGCCAACCATTTTTTGTGTCCGTGGTTGTAATTAACAGCTTTGAAAGCGGGGCATATTTTCATACCAACACCAGCATTGTCTCGCTGCCATATTGACAACAAATTTTGCTGAATAAGGTGTTATTTTTACATCAATCATTCGTTATATTGATGCAATATGGCTACATTTAAAACTTGGTTGGCATTAAATGCTTCATCCATGTAGCACCTTTCTGTAAATGGTATGTCTAAATCTGGTTTATGCATTTTGTCAATTTTTGATGCACACTTTAGATATGCTATAAACACTGATTGAATGGCTTGCCAGTGGTTTATATAACGAATATGAATTCATATTTGAGAATATGAACGGGAGTACCGAGTATGAATATGATTTTCTTAAAATTAGCTCTTACGGGATTTATTTTTTCAACAGAGACTATTATTTATTTGTATTAAATGTATTTTAATGAAACAGAAAGAAAATAAATTTCTGATCTTTTGGTTGTAAATTAATTACTGTGACCATAAAGATGCCCGAATATGAACGAGAATGACGAACATGAACCTTATTTTTTATACACTATATAAAATAGCTCACAAAAGTATAGAAATAGATATTTCAAACTATAATTTACATTCATTATGGTAAATATTTGCTGAGTAAAAATTTAGCATTAGATTTTTGTATATAATTTAGCCACCATGGCCAGAATACCATATATGAATACAAAACTTTATTTGAGCCGTGTCATGACAAAACCAACATAATGGGTTTGCGACCAGCATGGATCCAGACCAGCCTGCGCATCCGCGCAGTCTGATCAGGATCCATGCTGTTCGCTTACAAACCCTATAACAAGTAGAGAAACTGATAGCGAACAGCATGGATCCTGATCAGACTGCGCGGATGCGCAGGCTGGTCTGGATCCATGCTGGTCGCAAACCCATTATGTTGGTTTTGTCGTGACACGGCTCATTTCTTTTGTTAATTTTTAAAAACCCCTATTATTGATATTTCAGTCACTAATAAAAGCCTGTCAAAGAAATCTTGATGACAGTTAAAATTTGCTAAGTAATTTAGTTTAAGTTACTGTGACTTGCTATATACTGTAAAGATTAAAACAATATTTCATATTTGTGAATAAGTCTTAGAAACGAGGATACTGAATATCAATATTAAATAGATATATGTAAATAAAACTTTGTCTGAAATAGTTTTGTAAACAAAGACTATAATTATTTCCTTGCATCATGTCATTTAATGAAATTAATTTAAATGAATTTAAGGCCTTGATTGAAAATTATTGTGACGAGAAAGATATCAGAATGACAAGAATATCAAATATGAACATTATTTTTATATTGTATAAATGTATATAAAAACAATGCTCATAAAATACTACTTATACTTTATTTTTTCAAGTTACAATTATTAACCAATGTATATGTTAATTATAGTGTAAATATTTGACCCTAATCTATGCCAAAATTTTATGAAAATAACATTCATATTCGGTATTCTCTTCATATTTGAATTCATTTTCAGTATTTAGTCATACCCGCTTGCCAGTAAATTTTTTTTTTTTGGAGGAGGTATATATTTTATAGAAGGAATAGAGCTAGGCATTTTTTCCATGTTTTCAATGAATATATGAAAAAAAAAATAATACAAAATTAACAAAAAAAAAACAACTGACTTTTATATACAACTTTAATGGCCTGTTGACATTTTTAATGAGTGTCATTTGAACACATGTAGGATTTGATGGGTGATTAGGAGTGGATTAAAGATATCAGTTTCTGATGCTTGCTCTGAAAGTTTTGACCAACCTGAGGTAGTACCTTGTATTTTAAACGAGGTTTATGACTGTAGCAATAATTATTAAAGTGCTTCCATATTGACATGTAACATGTCGGAATTGATCAATTATTTTTTATTTTCTTCAGGCTAAACAAGTCAAAGTTGAGGACGCAAAAATAAAGAGATTGCAGCTGAAGGAAAGGGATGAAGTAAATGAGAGTGTTGGCAATCATATTATCAAAAAAGCCAAGAAAGAAACTGATACGGAGAGCCAGCAAAACATTTTCCTTGACCAACTGTGCAGAATAGAGAACAAGGTAATAGTTTTCATATGGTAGAGTAATGGTGGGTGAATTGCTATTGCTAGTTGCTGTAGTTCCAAATCAGGTCTCGATAGATTTATATAATATATTTTTATTTTATATTCCTGAAATGATGATATCCTTCCATTGATTTGATGCAAAGCAACCTTAAAAGTCAAGCAGCAGGTTTATTTGTACAAGTGTTACTTTGTTTTTGATAGCTTAATTCCATAGCTATGATTTTCTTTAGTGCTGGACAATTTACTGTAGCACTAAAGGTTTGATACCAGGTCAAATCGCTTAAACCTGATCTATACAAGTAAAATTTAAAAAAATCCTTGTTCTATCTCTTGCAGGTGGATACTCTGAACAATGCTGTGGAAACTCTACTTGGGTGCAGATCCTGCCTTCGAAAGATATACAAGGTAAGTTATTAAAATTTGCCATTCCTAAGGTCAGTTTACTTTTGGAAGCCGCTTAATTATATAAATGAGAATATCTAATAAATACAGCTAAATATTATCATAGTGTTAGCCCAACCGAGGGACTGCATTTAATGGTCAAGTTCAATTCCAATGCAGTGGTCGAAATTAGCACAAGCCCGCAAGCCCTGCTCTAATTAAATGTCTTCCGGGCTTGCTCAAATTCTGAATTTTATATAGCAGGGCTTGTTCATAAATATGATTCCATGCATTAAAATAACGAGTTCGGGCTTGTTCACCAAAAGTCTAATTTCGATGACTGCCAATGTATGCTTTCGTAAAAGATTTTACTTCAGACACTGTCCTCTTTGAGGCTTGACCTTGTAGTTTTTAAATGTAAACATTCTTAAAGTTTAGGATATTATTGAGGTTTCATAGAGAAAAGCTTTTGAACTTGTTACATCAAAATCAAATTAAACAAATAGGGCTGCTCAGAGTTACTAAAGCATTTCAATGTGTCTTGACAATTTTTTGACTTTCAAAGAGATTCCTCCGATACAAACATTCTGACCAAGTTTTAAAAAGATAACGTAACAAGAACTGTCGGAGGACAGTAATGCTCGACTATTCGATAATTTGTCACAAGGGTGTTTCATTGAGTATAATAATGCTTACCTATATGAATACATAAAATTGTACGAAAAGGTACAAACCCTTCAAGTTTCAATACAATCACAGAGAACAAGTGTGTGAAGTTTCAATCCATTCCCTTCAGTAGTTATGGAGATACCAGCTTACATACAAAAACTTAACCACAGGGACGCCGACGCCGACAAATGGGTGACTGCATTAGCTCGATTATTCTACGAATAGTCGAGCTAAAAATGTTGTCTTACAAATTAAATGTTGACAAGCTCTGCTTTCCATCACATAAATGGCCTGTAATTATTTTATCAGTGCCTTTATATCTGAGATGGCTGTGGACTTCAGACTGATATTCTCAAATAACCAACTTTAATCAAACAATTTAATTATTACATGGCATGATGCATTAACATTATTTTAACATTATTATTTTCTTATTTTTTCAAAAGGTTCAACCTTTCTATTTAGTAATGATTTGATTCTTCTTCAGAAAGGTCTATTTACTGAATCCATTCCCAATCATCTTAGCCCTAATTTGTTTCCCTATTCTTGTCTTAATGCTATTCCAGTAAAACATAACTCGCCGGGGGTGGCAACTTTTTAAAAATAAATTGCTTAGAACTAAACAAAAACCAAATCTGACTAGTTCAAGATAAGTAACTGAAGAGTTGGTATTAAAAAAATGCTCATTCTCATTGCCATGAATGTTACATTTCAGAAGTTGGATGGTAACAAGTTCCAATCAGTCCAAGACCGACAGGGAAAACACCTAGCAGTAGCATGAAAGTGGTAACTACATCAACAGAGTCATTAAATGAGAACGAGTTGTCAGTAGTTAGTGCCAGCAAAATCACAGGAGGAAAATGCAGGTAACATAACATGAATACTTATTTTAATTGCACCGTAATTAATTACATTAAAAACAAACTAATTTTACACTATGAAATTCATGCAAAAAATTAACTTTGATCAGAGCTCAATTTTAAATCTGGGTGACTCTGGCATTAATGTCCATTTTTAACTTGCAAGAATAACACAGGCAAGCGTTAGCACCCACTCTGCAACATTGTTGTTTATATTTTCAAATGAATGAAAGGGCTTAACTGGTCCATATTTGACAAGGCAATATACAATAGAAGAATGCCTTTATACCTCAACTAACTGTGGTACACTAATGGTGTACTGTGACAGCCCTAATCTCCAGTGATATTGCATACATATATTTTTAGACAAGGAGTTTCGAGCAAAATAAGTAGTCTTAAATTAAAATCTGTATGGTATACATCTTAATGATACTTTATCTTGAAACTCTTTTTAGACTGTGATGACCTGCAGCATTCAAACAGTTTACCCCTGCCGATTGAAGAAGACGGTAAGTACCATTCCAAATTTTTAATGAAAATGGTCTAATACTGGAATGAAACATTGCCACATTACGTACTGTAGCAGACTCTTATGCTTCTCAAAAACTATTTGGTCCTCATAAAAATGTTTTTACCACATGATAAATTACATCATATATACTACAGCAGAAGGAAATATTTTGCATAAATTAAAGTCTTAAAACAAAGAAAATAAAAACAAAAGGCAGTCAATGTCTCTTTAAGAGTCCCACCTTTGCTTTATAACCAGAGTTTGATTTGCCATTAAACAGGACTTATGTTTAAACTATTGGCTACTGAGCTCATTAAAATGTTGAAAAAAAAAGTTATCTTTGTTTAAATTTTCATTCAAAGCAAAATGTTGCTTTCCCACATATATAACTGCATTTATGATGCAATTTATCATATGGTAACTTACAGCAAAATTAAAAAGAAATACTTAGTAGCAATAAAAATTAATTTGTACTAAAAGAAATGAGCATGTTTAGTTTTCACTGCCGCACAAATCACTTTTTAGGGCAAAAAAAACAGCTTGTTTTTTAATTAAAAAATAGGAACAAAATCCAAAAATGAAATCCATTTGCTTTGAAGAAACTGACTTGAATCCTCTTTGTTGATGTGAGATCAATTATCCATACAGTAATAAACTAATGATACTAGCACAGTATTTTTAAAGCATAAAATGCTCATGAAAAGTGTCCAAATGATTTTGACATAAAATCTGTTTTAAACTGGATGCACATGCAGTGGTATTGGCTGTGTTGTAATTTTTGTGATGGGAAATTTTAAGAAACCTTCCGACATTGCCCATTACCTGTAGTGATCATACACGGACACTTTTTGTGTATATATATATATATATATATAAGAACAAACATCAAACTTTATTTTTTCAGAACTGGCCCATGTTGGGGATGTAAAGTACGGCATAAGAATCCCAAAAGATGCTCTGATGAGGTGTGAGAAAAGTGCCAAATCAGCCGAAAAATTGGCATTAAATCTCATAGAATTTCTTCTAAGTCCAGAGGAGCTTCAAACAGTAACTGTTTATGGAAATTTACAGCATAAAAAAGTTCCAATGGACGAAAACAAAAGAAGGGCCTTGAGAAGTAAGATTTGCCTCTATCATAATGTCATTGTTGTTATGTAATAGTGACACAATTGTAATCTAGATGTCATCAGCTTTTGTATCAAGTGCGCCTTTTTTTTTAAAATACCTATTTCTGTCTGCCTTAATGTCCCTTTGAAAATGAATTTTGACTCGAAAGACAATATAGACCTTTAAAGTGACCCATTCAAAATCAATACAGACACATGTAAAACAGACATTAATTTTGAGTGATACACTCTCAACTACTTTCTAAATAATGCATTTATGGAAAATATTAATTCACAAAAAAAAAAGATTGTTGAATGCTAAAAGATTTATTGCAATATTCTATGGTTTTATAAGGTAGCAATACCATATTTTCTTTTAAACAAACCATCATAAGCATCATTGTTTTCAACAGCTATTCATCCTTTTTGGTACAGTGGAGCCTTGCTAATCCGAACCCTTCTAATCCGGAAACCTTTCTTATCCGAACGAAGTGTCCGGTCCCGATTTTATTCATTCTATTTTCAATAGTAAAAAACCTTTCGGATCCGGAACCTGTCTACTCCGAATTCCGGACGATTTTTTCAATTTTTGTTCTTATTTTACTCTAAAATTAACCTCTGGGATCCGAACAGATTTTGTCAAATGTCACACGTACATTCAAAATGACAAAACAATCGCATATCTTGCAGGTGTAAACAACACCAAACTGACCAGAGTAATTTCGCTTGATTAATGGGTGAAACGTATGATCTGCGAAGGTGTGAAAAATACACTTAGCTTGCCTTGACATCTACTATAATTGCTTAATTGATTGTTTTTCGTCACCTTTAATAAATATTTTGATATAATGCAATAGAAATATCTTTTTATCTTCTGTTATGGATTTAATGACATGTGATTAGGTAATGGAAATTTGTGGAAACTGTCAGCGAATTCGGATAATCACTGAATCGGATAAGAGTAAACAACAATTGACAAATGCTGGTACGAATATTTAATCATGTCTCAGCCTTCTGTTTAACATCGTAGATTAACTTACCCTTAAGGATATAACAATTTTGCTCATTTATTTAATTTAATTTTATTTATTTTTGTATTCGCAAGTATTAAAATGAACGATAAGAGATTGCAAAAATAAATAATTTTATGCAATTTCAAATGCATTCCCGTTCGCTTTCCTTAAACTATTTTGCCAATAACATGAACAAACATGTAAAAAACCTTATAATTCGGAAACCTTTCTTATCCGGAAACCTTCCTAATCCGAACTTTTCTTTAGGTCCGGACGAGTTCGGATTAGACAGGTTCCACTGTATATTAAAAACAATTGTATTAAATTTGTAAAATCTTTTTGTGAATAATAGTGCATGTTAAAAAGTAAACAATGACTAAACCTTTATAGATATTAAAAACAATAAGTAACTGTTTTAAATAATTTATTTCTTAGTTAGGCCAAAAAAATAATTGTTTGTTTAGGGTAACCTTCCCAAAATTTCTAGGCAGGGTAGGTAGGGAATTTTTTTTTATTTTATTTATTTTTTCAAAATCTGTCGTAAGTTCAGAGTGTCTTCTTGCATATGGCAGTCTTTCCTTCATTAAACCCCAGTCACACTAGAGCTTACGATTACTTGCGACCACCGGCGACTTGTAAAACTGACGATCATGAGCGATTGTCTGCGACAAAAACCATTTTTGCACAGATAAATTTACTTTTGCTAGTATCGTAAGACCAGTCATCAATGACAATCGCACGACAGGTCATAAGTAAGCGTACGATGGTCTCAAGATTACCCGTGACATAACATGCGATCACCTACAACTTGTCGTACAACCATCACAGGATT